AAACAGCATCGCTAGTTTTTAACGGCTGGACGAGCAGTCCAAGTGGGAATTGACTAGAGATCCCGCTCACAGCAGTAGCCCCGTCTGTCCGGAGGCCGCCTTTTGTGAAAATTACCCCGTCTTGCAGACTGGCACAAACATCAAAAAAATACTCATCATCATCGATTGTCATGATATTTCACCTGATTGTCAATCATGAGAATTGCAAGGAGGCTACCCAAGAGAATGATTTTGCGCTTGTCAAATACCTTTTCACACTAATGCACTATTTGATGGACGAAGAGAGTATGTTGAGTGCAACAGATGAAGACTTTGCTCCTCGTTGTCCTTGCGGATGTGTTGTGCATTTGCGGTCTAACTACTTGCTTGCTTTGTCCTTTCTACAGTGTTTCAATTGTACGATGCGGATCCATCACCATTGAATTGAAGAGACATTGTCGTTGAATGAATATATGAAGTGGAATGAATGGTCAAGCTGCTCTACAAGGTTGAATGCGGTGGTCCTGCGGTGCTATCATTGGTTCGTGATGCTCTGATTAATCTATGGCTATGGTGCCCCAAAGAGACAGGCGATCTCACAGGCACCCAATATTTTTGTTTTGGAGAGACTAGGTTCCATGTCTGGTATTTGGATTGGCTGGAAGGAAGTGTGAAACAATGGATTTACGAAATGAAATGCAAATAATAGCCAACGACCAGCCTCTGGCGAGATACTATCGAGCGTTCTAGGGGTCATGTGAGTATACCACGGTCTCATACGACTTAAGAATAACCAATAGCTTGGTTTGTAACTTTATTGGAGCATTCATTGATGAGTTCTCGGCTCCTGCTGGTTACCAGGGTTGTCGGTTAGCGCCCCAAAGCACCCCGGAGCTTAGAAGGCTATAACTCACAAGAAAAGTGTTCTTTTTTAATGCAACCTGGACAGGATTAAAACTAAAGATCTAAGCTAGAAGTTTTATATGGGTTAAATTTTTATTCTACTGATATCGAGTAAGGTACAGTTCTGGCCTCCCCACTTTTTTGTAGGGCTGAGTGGCGGACGGACCGTTAAACTACGTGGACAATTCGATGATATCGATGACTCCAAAAGAAATGAGCTCTTGGCAGATGCAGACAATGATGTCGATGATATGCCGGAACTCAATGTCAGATTCCAAGGGGCACGTCGCTACGCATCAGAGCCGTCACATCCTTCCTGCCCATGGTGGACAGCACCGCTTCCCTCTGATCTTCTTTGCGCTACGGTTCGCCCCATCACAGGATCTGACAGTGTTCTTCTCACAGATACTGGCCGTGCCTCTGAACCGTCCCCTCCCAACAGCCCATCCATCCTTCAAGCGTGGCAGACGGTTGCCGAGCTTTGCACGGACTATTACGGGTGGGTTCCAGATGAGATCGAGGTTCACGGTGAGGAAGCCACCTTAGCTGATGCTCTGTTGGAAGGTCGCCTGCGCGTGATCAGCGATGGACCCTTCAAGAACGAGTTAGGGACCGCGGCGGTTCAACTCTTGGTGAAGCATGGTGGGTGCCATTGAATCATCATCCGGTGTCAGACCCCCGGTTTGCGACAGGATCAGAGCCCATACCGCAGCGAACTCATTGGTCTGTTGGCCGGTATAATGGCGGTTGATTGGCTCCTTAAGCAATGGTTCCCAAATCTTTCGACATGCCCCAAGGTGCGGATTGCTTGCGATGGTCTCTCTGCCATTGAGATGGCTTTCAAAGATCGTCCACTGTCTCCAACTGATGCCCCGTTTGACTTGGTGTCGTCCATTTGGGAAGCTATGCTTCGGTCCTCGGTGGATTGGTCGCCCCAGCACGTGTATGGACATCTTGACAAGTCCAATCTCTTTGACGAACTTTCTTGGTGGGAGAAACGGAACCTTGAGGTGGATGGAATGGCGGTGGAGTATCGTAAGGAACTTGAGACGGCCAATCATCTCATAGCCCCCAATCCTCGTTTCTTCACTGAACTTGCGGCATTGTACGTGGCAGACACCAAACAGTCACGCCTTGATCCTCAGTTAATCCAAGAGTGTGTGACCCTTCCCGCCCTTCGCTCACGCTGGAGGGACAAAGGTACTATCTCGGCCGAAGCCGAGTCTGAGACCGCCTGGGACACACTCGGCCGAGCCATGCGATCCCTCCCTGCAGGACTACAAAGGTGGTCTATAAAACTCAAAAATCAAAAATCAAAAACTAAAAGGTAGAAAATATTCTTCCACACACTTCTCCAAAACAAAACTGTACCAGTCCTACGCGTTTCGTACGTAAAGGAAAACAGTTGTTGTTGTTGAAACAGGAATTAAATTTACGCCAACATGAAGGATAGCATCGTGAACCCGCCGGAGAAGG